TTTTTTTTTTTTTTTTTTTTAATTTTGATACAAGGTCTTACTGAGTTGCCCTGACTGGACTTGAATTTGCAGTCCTCCTGCCTCAACCTCCCAGAGTGCTGGGATTTTGATGAAATCCAATTTATCTTTTTCTCTTTTTTGTTTCTGGTATGCTGCCTTTTTAATCTGGAAAACACATACATTCAGGAAAGATTTTTTTGTGAAAGATTCCAAATCACATTTGTATATACTTCTTTATATTCATAGTTGAATTTTCTGTAGTCTGTATAATGTATATATTTACAAGTAGAATTCATGGCTTGTATGTTAGTAATATTTCAGGTTGACATTCACAATGACCATATATACTTGCTTTTCACTAAGTGAATGTATATACCCATTGATATTATAAAACTGGTAGGATGAAATCCCTGACTGTATGATGAAAAGTGCTAATCCTAAAATGTTTACTTTGTATTTTCATGACTATTACTAAGGAGCAGTATCTTTTTTTTTAAATTTAATTTTATCCTCCCCCCCAAGACCCCTCCCCTCTCTATAATACAAAAACTTTGTTTCCATTTTTTCCTCTACTTTCACTTTTTTTCTTGTCCCTTCCTTCCTTCCTCCCTCCCTCCTCCCTTGTTCCCCTTCCCATTTGAACACCTTCTTCCCATTTCCCAACATCCATTATATATCTGAGAAGCAGTATCTTTTTTTTTTTTTTTTGGTACCAGGGATTGAACTTGGGACCTTGTACTTTCAAGGCAGGCAGCAGAACCACTGAGCTAAATCCCTGACCCTGAGGAGCAGTATCTTTACTAGCCATGTATACTTCCTTTTTCTGTAAATTGATTTCATATTTTTGGCCCATTTTACTATAGGCTTTATATTTCTTATTGATTGACAGGAGTTTTTTTTAATATATTCTAGATGTTTCATTTAATATACTACAAATATTTTCTCTGGTCTCGCTTATCTCAGATTTGTGGGATATTTTATCAGTCTAAAATTTGAGATCTTTATATAATCAAATCTTGTTTCATTTATGGTTTCTGACTTTTATGTCTACACTTTCTGTAGCTCATGATTAAAAATAAAAAACCCTATTTTGTACCACATACAAATTAAAGTTCCATACGAATAATGCTGAAGGGCTGGGGATGTAGCTCAGCAGCATAGCACCTGACTGGCGAGTATGAGATCTTGAGTTTGATCCCTGGTACCACAAAAAAGAATAACGTCGTAACTACATTAGGCAAAATACAATGGACTTGTTAAGCATTTTTAGATTTACCTATTTTACTGGAACATCAATTTATTTGTTTTTAAATAGTCAGGAATCTCACTTGTATGCTGTCATTATCAGTAATACAACATGAGAATACTATTATGCTTTTCTATCCTTTAGCCATGATGTTATTTGAAATCTTACATTGCAGCCTGATTAAAAGCCATGTACATATGTCACATTCATAGAAATTTCCTTAATTGAATTGTAGGCTTAATTTTTTTCCCTTCAACTTGGAATTCATCTTTTTCTCGAGTACAAAATGCCTCTTATGCAATAATTGTAGCCCATCATTGATTACAGTAAATTTCCAATGCATTTCTTATCACTTCTTAGATTATAAGTTCCTTGAAGATATGAGCCATGTCCCATGTCTTAACTATTTTTATATCCTATATTGCTAAAGATAGTTATGAAGCAAATAACATTTTCTTTATTTCAGCTTCTTTGCCCAAAATGCTATGCCAAGTTGGGTTCCTTCAATTGGTATGGTGAACAGTGCTCCTGTGGTAGATGGATAACACCAGCTTTTCAAATACATAAGAACAGAGTGGATGAAATGAAAATGCTACCAGCTTTGGGATCACAAACAAGAAAATGATGAACTTGTGACATTTGGTAACTTGGAAAGAAACCAGTTGGTGATTCGTGTTACCCTTACTTATCATCATTCATGGCCAAATAGCTAGTTTTAGGCCAACATTTAATTTGGAATGTGAGAAGATAAAAATCACTTGATGTTATGTGGAAATTATTCTTCATTTTACACACACACACACACACACACACACACACACGTATTACATGATATAAGAACATATGACAGCTTTTTAATCATGTAAATTTTATTTGACTTGACATTAAAATCTCTTATAAACTAGATATTTTGTTTCATGTATTTTTAAAAGTTCTGATTTTTGGAATGTTGTGTTAATGTCTGGGTGCACAAAATTGTATACAGAAATTTGTTGTTTTTGTTTTGTTTTTGGTACCGGGGATCAAACTCAGGTCCTTGTGCTTGCGAGGCAGGTGGTTGAGCCACTGAGCTAAATCCCTGGCCCTGTATACAGAAGTTTGAAACTGTTACATTTAGGTAGGTATTCTTTGATTTCCAGAAATGTAGTGCGGGTTTACTTGGATATATTGTTTATTTTTTTCTCTTTTAAGTTACATTAGTAAACCTATTTGGGCCTGGATTTTTCTTGGAAGTGTGAAGGAAAGGCCATTGGTAAAACACAAGATTTTTCTGGTTACTTTTCAGAAATCCAGTTGTCTATATTTATAGAAAAATGTTTTTGAGACATCTTTGTGGGGAGGGGGTACTAGGGATTGAACCCAGGGCCTTCTCTCTGAGCTGTATCCCAGATCTTTTCATTTCTGAGACAGTTTCGCTAAGTCACTAAATTGCCCAGGTTGGGCTTGAACTTGTGTTCCTTCTGCCTCAGGCTCCCAGAATTCTGTGATTACAGGTGTGTGGTAGTACCATACCTAGTGAGATAGCTCTTGAAGTAATTATGTGAAGAAATATATTAATGTTAGTATGTTTATAGTGACAAAGAAAACAAATGTAAAGTTCTTGTGTATCAATCACTTTTTATTTTATTTTTGTACCAGAATCAAACTCGCTACCTTTCACTTGCAAGGCAGGCACAGTGCCATTGAGCTAAATC